AAGGTTTACACTGCAGGTCGATTTAAAGACTGCAACAACAAAATCAAGGTTTATGATTGGTTCAAAGTATAGTGAAGTAAAAGATGCCATAGAAATGCCGAATCTCAATAATTAGAGTTTATCGCTGTTATCTAATTGACCCAATCGGAAAATCAGTTTATATAAGGTAAGTACTAATTTAAAATGAACACACAAAAGAGAGAAAAATGAATGCAACATAAAACATAGCTAACACTTCGTAATAATGCAATACCTGGATTAAAATATTTTATGTGGTTTTACTCTATGCCATTCACTGACATTTACGTACATAAATTTTATCGAAAAGCAAAGTTCTCTAGACACGGATGGTTGAATTGAAAAATACTAAATTTATAGTAGAAAAACATAAGAAACACACGATACAGAGAGTTAAGAGGTTCAACTACATTCCCCCCCTCTCTCGCAAGAGAAGTACCGGTACCCTCACCACCACCTTGCAAGAGAAGTACATGCATCACAACCACCTCTCCACAAGAGAAGTACTGGTACCACCACCACCACCTTTCTTGCGAGAGAAGTACATGCATCACAACCACCTCTCCCGCAAGAGAAGTACCGGTACCAGCAACACCACCTTTCTTGAAAGAGAAGTACATGCATCACAACCACCTCTTCCACAAGAGAAGTACTGGTACCACTACCACCACCTTTCATGCGAGAGAAGTACATGCATCACAACTTCCCTCTCCCGCGAGAGAATTACATGCACCACCAACATTCCCTTTCCTACAAGGGAAATACCAGCAGCACCACCACCCTCCTCTCACGTAAGAGAAGTATTGGTACCACCAATACAGCCCCCTTTCCAGCAAGAGAAATACAAGCACCACCACCAACCTCACTCCCACAGGAGAAGTACAAGCACCACCATCAACCTCTCTAAAGCAGGAGAAGTACAAGCACCACCACGAACCTCTCTCCCACAAGAGAAGTACAAACACCACCATCAGCCCTTCTCCCGCAAGAGAAGTACAAGCACCACCACCAACTCTTCTCCCGCAAGAGAAGTACAAGCACCACCACCAACCCTTCTCCCGCAAGAGAAGTACTGTCACCTCTCCACCCTCTCCTGCGAAAGAAGTACCAGCAACAGTAGCAATGACGTGAAGAGTTAAGCTCCAGTTATCTAATTCTGTAATGACTTAATACAAATTTATGAGAGTCCTCCATACCCCTGTATCATTAGAAACTGTGCTTTAAACTTTAAGAACGAAACTTTGAGCTTTTAAACGTCTTCACAAGGTTTCAACAATAAAAGAAATAAAAATGTCTTATCCTTTTACAAGTCCCATATTTACACAATTCTCATCAATCCTAATGTATAGTTCTATAGACAAAAATATTTTGGTAAAAGATATATTATCAATGTACAACCAAACGATATATTATCAATACCCAATAACAAAAATAATTTTACAAAAGGACACAATCATAAATTCGACATCATAAACAGTTTTAAAAAAGTTGTCAAAAAACACCTGTCATTTTTGCATATCACTTAATAACAAAAAAATTTGCGCGAAATAATAAACTCACTTTGTAATGATAATTAAAATTCTTTCATTTCTGACATAGCTTTTAGTGTAGCTAATATTAAAATCGGAACTGCTGAATAATTAAATTTTACTGATGCATTTACTCCAGTTTTCTCCTGTTTTTACTTAAAACAAACTAGCTAACAACTTTATCATTATGAGCTGTATATTCTACATCCACTAAAGTTTGGTTTCATTTAAAATATAAAATATGAAATAAAAATTTCTGTTCAGTAGTTATAAGGTTTATGGGTCTTCGATTAAAATAATTCGCTATTGCGCAAAAGGAATATTTCTCATTATCCTGAAAATGAAATTTTGGGAGTAAAACATTACACCGGAGTATAGGGAGACATAGAACGAAAACGGGATTTTCTATTTTCAAAGTTCTACTTTTATTTACAAGAGTCCTACCCGTAGAATAAACTATAATATCAAAGGATAGTACAAAGTTTTAAACAACTTCGGCCTATTTGACTTAATTTAAACCAGCCTTAAATATGTTTAGACATTTTTAGTTTGTTGATAACTTTCAGTCTTTCACAGCATAACTCTTTCATTTATAAGACTTTATACTTTTTAAATTGATAACATTTAATAAACCAAGTCATTCGCGCAGTCCAAATTGAGCCCCACATTCAATCTTTTTATGTTGTGAAATTTTAATTCATTTTGGATGGAAAACTGACTTAAATAAATTTGCTTAACAATCAGCTTATCAATTGCCCACTCGGGATAAAGACTAGTGATCACAATGATAACACAAAGTTGCATTGAAAGATAGAACTTTGCTATTTTAACGCTGTTATTTTGATTAGGTGTAGTTATATGATGTATTTTAAGTGCCTTTCGATTGCCATAAGCCCATAACGAATAGCAATGTAACATAAGAAACATCAAAACTAGACGACTGACCACCCCCAGTCTTAGATATACAAGATGGAAGTCAATTTCCCTGCAAGATACTGATATATCAAACGATTAATGGACACACTCAACAATTGGGCCTCCCCACCCCCCCCCACACACATACACACACACACAGACACACAGACACACACAAACACAAACCATCATCTCTGATCAGTTCGGTGAAGACGGCAAGACATTTCCTTTAATCACAATAAGAAATATGTTTGTATAACAGGAGGATGCCACTGCACTAAGAAGATTAGTAAAATCAACACGTGCACAAATCCAACCACTTTAGTGGGAAAAGATCGACAACTATTTTCACTTAACCAAAAGCAATCGTTGATTTTAATCTGAGCCAAAAACATTGACAGACAAGGAAGAAAAGAGAGCTTCAATCTGAAACTTTGATCCCATCGTTAACTAATGACATTCAAAGTGAAAGATATGAAATTTTTGAAAGACGTAGCTGTTCAAAACAATAGCGACAGACTGACAGGTACTTCAGCCAAAATGCACATCAGAACACACACACACGGTTATAGATTTATACATAATAAAGTCTCCCTTTAGAGAGCTTTTTGCTCTGTGTATCATGTTATACACCATTATTATTTGAGCAAAACCAAAATACATTTTCAGAAAATACAAGCAGCATCAGAGCAACGTCCTCAAAACCAGAGGTTTGCCCATGTTTAAGTGGTTTGCCCGTGTTTAAGTGGTTTGCCCATGTTTAAGTGGTTTTCATGTTTTGCATTTTCGTTATTCGTCTATGTCAATGGGGTTCAAGAAAACTTACTCAAACAATCAAGAAATTTTGTAAGGAATTGAACTCAGTGTATAAATAATAGCTATTATATCACTCTAAAGACACGTTTTTGCTTATCACAAAATATAGCCCAGATTATAATACGCTTAAGTACGAGTGCATATAAAGAAAAACAAACAAAGGTGTTTTTGGAACGCGTTTTCATAAACTAAATGCTCCATGATCAAATAAATACACGTCACACAGACTTCCAAAAATTAACGTACTTGACGTCAAATTCATGCTAACTAAACTAGAAGTATATAGATGTTTTCAAGTTGAGTGCATGATCATTTTTTAAATATATGCTATAGTATAATTTTAGAATTTTGATATACATTTGTATATATATTAAAAGAGAGACAGTAGTTTATCAGTCTATTTCACTGTTGTCTGTTACCCTCTTGAAATAAAGTTTTTGTACATACTTAAACATATATACAAGTTTAAGTTATAATATCCGTTGAACTCAAAACACCTGGAGCAATATTTTTACCGCCATATTTGAATTTTAAATTCAAGAATAAAATATCTTTTTCTCTTGTGCAAATGTGACTGGATTTCTTGCTGGGAATTTCGTTTTTAACGGAACAAAAAATTTTCGAAAATATTTTTGACATTAACAAGCGACATAAATAATGTTTTGTGAACACGAGGCTCGAGAGTTAAGACTTAAGAGCATCGGCAAAATTCATCACATAATTACAAAAACAAAATACGCTAACAAATTCGTACTTACTCCTTAAAAAAAAACCCAGCTAATCTTTATAATCTTCTTGTGAATGATGTCATGAAAAAGATCATTTCACACGTACTCTCCACAAATTGGTCTTAAAATTCATAAATAACACAAACAATCTCATCTCAACCATTCTCAATTCTCAACTTTGAACTTTGATAATACACTGGACACCAGTTCGTGGGCACAGATGCAATCAAAGTATCTAAGCACCTGCGTAAAGGCAAGTCAATAACAACTTACCACACAATAATCTGATTAGACATCATACGATCAGACTTTGTGCCTGCAAAGCCAGTGAAAGGTACTTCTCATAAAACCTCCAAATCAAAATACGCTTTGTGTGATAAATTAAATATTACATGATATGTCATCTTGCTATAATCGACATTTGACTGTCTCCATGACAAATATGCACAATGTTTGAATTGTCTCCCCTGCAAAATCTCTAATCATCTTATTTGAGTGAATTTAGTAATGGAAAATGGAAAAAAAGACTTATCTGATATACACACGAAGAGCAAAATCATTAAACTTATTTTTGAAGAGTCATTCAGAAGAGTCATTCATGAAGACTTATTCAGTAAAAGCTGCCATTGATCAAAATGACGGCATATGAGGGCACGAGAGTCAGAAACACTGATTGTAATTACTTAGCATTACTCACTATGTCTAACGATGGTAGATTAATTAAAATCATTTTGAAGAATTGAATATTAAAGAAATAGCAATATTCGTCTTGTGTACAAAGGTGTGGCTGTTTGTATTAGTTTCAGTGTTGATGACATGTTTATACAACTATATCTTATACATTGATTACTGATATTTTTCAACGTCTTTCTTATTAATCTCTCGTGCTTTGCATTATTTACATGATAATTTGGCTTATCAGGAAAAGAACTTTCGTAGCATAATACATTTCATAAATGAATAGAAAGTTGTCAAACTCTGTTGGGGTGAAAACATACACTTTAAAAGATTATTGTTACTTTGCATAATTATTCAACATGTGTTTTTAATATGTCAAAAGAAAAGTGTTTTTGTCATTGTGCGCCAAGACTCTTGAAAGAAGAACATCAGGTAAGAGAGTGATTACACAAAACATAAACTAATTTTAGTTAAAAAGATTTGTAAACAGAGACAAAAGTTTTACAATTATTTATGTGCATGCAATTCTCTATACATTGCTTATAATTTTCACAAATCCTTAATTCTACTCAAGTTACGGCAAACGTTGTCAATACATTCGCACAGACGGAAATTTCCTCCTGCAATTAATGCCGAATAAAATGTATTCCCAGTTGATTTATTCAAACCTGTGTTTATAAATATTTTATTCTATTATATAACATGTTATGTCAAAGAAAATCGTTGTTGAGAAAAAATCTCATTTTATACACTACAAAATGATGTCCTAGTCAATTTTACTATTAGCTACGAACAAAAAAGCAAGCGATGTTTCGATTTTTTCTCGACTCACCTCGATGTAAGTGGCGGTTTGATACTATGCTACACAATGCATATCCAATTATATTTTCAAAATACTAGCTAAGCTGTTTTCCAAAAAATGTTTGTTGATCATGTTGAAGAGTGATCAAGTGCGTACTTGGTTTGTTGATCGTTGCGAAATGTATCGGCAAGACTTGTATTTGGTGTCAAATAATTAGAAACGTGAATGTGATGAATGTTTTTTAGTTCTATGGGATATCAAATTTTTGTTCCAACGTTTTATGGTCTAAATTGACATTAGCATTTTACCTCTTAACTGATGAAACTTTTCCTCATGCATCACAAGATTCTGATTTGGATGAAATTTTTGCATCAGTAATTTGAATGCTTTGCTTGCTGGTAAATGCATTTGATTTTACTGGGGTCATAATGTAGTTAAAAATGTTATATAGGTTTCAGCAAGGTTTGCGTCAGTTAACACTAAAAAATTAATGTTTCAAACGTTTTATTAAGGAATACTGCCTATAGTGACACTCTTTAACTTTCTGCGGAAAAATTGTGAGATTGTTCATTTTATCAATCATTTGTCGCACATGATTTACGTCCAGCAGGGTGAATCATGATTCCAAGAAGCTATTATGTCTAAAAGTTTTCACTATTCGATTAAACACTGAACAAGGTATGATGTTCTCATTGAATATTTGACACCTACTCGCTAAAGACAAGGATGGAGCAGTCTGCGGTTGTTAAAATTTGTGATTACCATATGCATTTAATCACGAATTTCAACACTCTTTATTATGCATCACGTATATTTAACCACTCGTTTTGTGTTACACAACTTAAGTTACCAGAGATATTTCCATTATCAAAACAGTGTATGATAATCTTGTTTACTAATGTGTTTTTGTTTCTTGTTTATTAATGCTTTCCTTCAAATACTAACACGATACTTGTGGAATATTGAATTAAAAACACGCTCCGAATATTTCAAAATATATACACAAAGATTTAGGGAATAGAGTGAAAAAAATCCACAGACAAATGACAAAACGTCTGCCGTTTTTCGCAAAAACGATTATCATATTAAAGCCCACCGCACACTGGTGAACTTGGTATTGACGTGATCGACAAAGTGCGGATTTAACAACATTTGTCATTCGTGACAGATGAGTCAAATATCTGTCACGAATGACAAATGTTGTTCAAAACTTCCGCGAACACTAGGAACTTTTGTCGATCACACTTGTCACGAATAACAAGTACGCGCTGCAAGTTCACCAGTGTGCGGCGGGCTTAACAATCTTCTATAAACATGCCGTAAATATGATACAAGATTTCCGGAAACCCACGCCAATTAAATCTGTAAACAATATGTATGTGCAGGACGATGAAATAACAACTTCAACACACACAACGCATACTTGATTGTAGGGGGAACATACTCTGTCAATATCAAATTCAAAGTGAAAGAAAAGCAGCGAATCATATTATCTAGGGTCTCACTATGATAATTAAAAGGCATTTCCAAAACGTCTATCCTTCCTTTGTCTATGGATTCCTTATTCTTACAAGTTTGATGAAAGTACATCCAATGGCCAATGCTGGTGATTTGGGGAAAATGTGCAACTCGACTCAAACAAACCAGACAAATTGCACAAGGAATGAGACTGGTTCTCTTAATCAAAGTGATGTAAGTTTATAAACAAAAACTCTATTGTATGTAATTACAAAAATCATTTTATTTGGTCTGATGAAATAATTTAAAGTCAACGAAATGTTTTGTTGACTGGAAAGAAATGCATTCAAAGAAATGAGGTAGGTGCAAAAAAATCTCATATTAAAAAAAGTCAAAAAGCCAAAATAGTCTAACTGAAGCCATTGGGTAAAAGTCATCTCATTGAACAACCTTATAGTTTTTGTATTTATTATTTCCTTTATACGATTTTTATGGCATTATCAGAAGTTGGTTTACCCCATGCCTCAAAGTGAATACGTTTAAAAGGAAAGATTTTTCTATCAAAAAACACGCGGAACTTTAGTGCTTTTAGAATTATTTGCAACATTTCCAATATTTATAAGACCACCATCAACTACAATAATTGTACCTCTCCATAATTTCTGTAATTTATTTATTATCATATGCTCCATCTCGAAATCAAATAAACTAAAGTGTTCACAATATTTTAATACATGTCAAACAAAAAGAGACTTAGAATAAAAATCATATCAAATCCTCGTGTCAAGCGCAGCAGAAATGATTTCCGTTTCACAATTACATTTGCGAATTCTTTGTTGCTGTCCAACTTCTGTAAAAGTCTCCACATTCCCCCTTTTGCTTGCACGTAATATGCAGCAAAGACTGCAGAAAATGGCAGTTCTGCGAGTTCGTATTTGAAATTTTTATAACTCATCCACGAATCCTTGAGGTGTATCCGCATCTGAAATGCTTCCGTATTCTGTAATTCGTAACACCTGCTGAGTGCAAAACTTGCACACTTGCAGTGGAAAACTACGTCTAAAAAAAATTAAATAGACTGACAAGAGATAATACATTGAATTAATGCATTTCTAAAATTTTTGCAATTTTCTTCTCCACCATTGAGAAATATGACAGTTTACAATGCATTTAAAATTTTCATATGTTTCATTGAAGAACAAACCCAAGAACAGTACCTCGATTGGTTATGAAACATTAATAGCAACAATGGTGGTCTCCACAGTTGGTGTCCTTACAAATGGTCTTCTTATTGTTGTTATTGTGAAGGATCCTTTAAACAAACTAAGACGAGGACCGTGGATTACCATCTTAAGCTTATCTATAGCAGACATCACTGCATCTTTGTCCCAATTCATGATTGTTGGATTGGGTAAATTGTTCGAGGTCAAACCATCAGAAGCTGTCATTTTTTCTGTCCTTTTCTTTTAGATGTTTGGGGCTGCGGGCTCATTTTTTCACTTGACATCACTCACATGGCAAACTTACATAATTGCAAAGTATCCCATACGTAGCCGACAGATGTTGTGTACCAGAAAAATATACATATTATGCGTGACTGTTTGGTTGATTGCCATTGGCATGGCATTTGGTGAACTCACATCAATTTACACCAAGAAAAATGAACAGCTTATGTACACCTATATCACAGTATATGCTGTCTTGGAAATCGCTGTTTTACTTCAGATAGTATTGAAGTGTTTCATACTTAAGATTGTATGGCAAAGTCGACAAGACACTAAAGTACATGGTGAACAGCACAACATTAAACATCTTGAAATTGTAAAGACAATCATTGTGCTGAATGTCTTATTACTGGTAACTGCATTTCCTTTTTTTGTCGCCAAACAAGTGGAGTTTATTCAAAGGCTTGGAAAAATACAAAGTGAATTGGCTGGACGTTTTTCATATTACTATAAGCCAGTGGCCATGGTGAATTTCGCTGTCAATCCAATTGTGTATGCACTGAGGCTTCCAGATTATCGAAACAGTATGAAGGCGTTGTTTAGAAAGAAGAATACTGTTTTTACTCCAACATCCAAGTCAACGACCTTTTCCTTCCGGCCCACCAATGAAACATTTGCGATGTAACTACATTCATCGTTCATAACTTTATGATTAATATATAAATTTTTTATTTGGGTATAGTATAGGTAATATTAGCATAGTTTTAAAGGGAAGATGAAAGAAAAAGAAACTATCATGATTTGTAGCGAGATTTAAACTGACTAAAATTTACAGCCAACATTTTGACTTTTCATTTCATGAGAAAGATCAACAGTATGATACTTTTTTAACGGTACATATCATTAATCAAATAAACCTTGAACTTAGCGACGTTACAGATTCGCCCAATGCTTCGATAAAAAATTTGAAAGAAAAATGAGTCTTGCTTGTTTGTTAAGTTTTCTATAGCTTGTTGAAAAAATGACAACAAACTTACTTCATATATCGGCTGCTACTTGGTGGATATATTGGAAAAGAAATACTTCGGTATAAACAGAGCATCGTTCCATCGCTCAAAGAGTAAGTTGATCTGTTCAAGATAAAGAAAATGTGTACGCAGCTAACGTACAGTCGCAAGTGCACGGACAGCTTAAATACAGAATCCTTTCATCACAGGCATATGAGCCAAAAGAAACAATAACGATGTACCATCAAAATGAAATTTGCATAGTTTTTATTCTACTTGCGTTATGATGAAAAGTTTGCTTACACAAAAAATTTTTGTGATGACCCAAAGCACAAACTTACATTGTGTGCTGAAACAGGAAATTTTGCTATAGCATTTATTAGTACGTTATTCTTAAAATTGAACGAATTTATGTTTTGAAATATGACAAATCAAGATACTTACAACAAAGACTTTGCTAAGAATTCTCAATAACATGAGACCACCCTGGGCCCTGGTAAAGCCATAACTTTTTAATAATAACAAGGTGTTCTGTACACGGATGCAATATATTTTGGTGAGTAAATCAGTTCACTGCAATATTGCAGAAAGTAGAATTCAATACATAACGTGGAGGGACATTCGTTTCACTTTCTACATCAATATACAGCCAATATCCATTTTCTTCTTTGTCAGTACTTCCTGTATACGTGAGAAGTTTGTGTACATCATCATGATGCCCAGCCCAATTTTGAAGTAGTCGGACGTAGCCGTTAACCCACTTCGAGGTCAACGTCAACCCAGAAGAATATTTGTTTTGTCTGTTTCAAAACACATGATACATACACGCGATCTTAATTTACCATATAAGACATTTTATTTTGCTATCAGTTGAGTATTTGTGAGAAGAAGAGTTAAGAACGCATCACACGACGAACGCGAAAGTCGTTTTTTTATAACATCCAAAACTTATTATAAGAAGGCCAGCAGACGACAAAGAAGTTAGTCTTGGAGGTATATAATAATTATTATTTGTAATAACAGGATTACGACGTTTTACCAAACCCTGTGTTCGTTTGAGCTGATAGTACGATTCGACATGTGGTTTATCGAATCCCTTTAAACCAAATTTTAGTCATCGATTCATGTAATTACCAGACTTTGTACACTTCAAATTAGATTTTGTATAAGTAAATTATATTACTTTTTTAGACAGGTGGAACCCGGCGTACATTTCCTTACATAAAATCAATTTCTGAGGTCACGCTATGCTACCTGTACAATATGTTTATAGATACGTTGTTTTTATATGTTTGTTGAATATATATCCAGTGCCAGTGGTCAAAGCTAGCAACAATTCTATCAAAATGTGCAATTCGACTAAAATAGATCAAATAAATTGCACAAGGAATTCCTCCGTTTCGCAAAATAATGGAAAAGTAAGTATTATTATATAAAAAGTATTATAAGTCATGAAAATAAACTTTGTTGACTGCAAAGAGAAATGCATTCAAAGAAATACAAACAAGCTTGCGAGAAACACGTAAAGGCGTTTGCTCTTTTGTATTACACAACAACGTTACATGCAGTGATTTTGTCATAAAAGTTGACATTTTGAGAATAAGCAAAATTATTATGTGCAGTTCATTTAATTAGCATTTTGTGGCTTCATGGTAAGCTGTAAAGATAAACATTGTTATCTAAAGTTATTTGGCAAAATCAAATAATCGTATGATAAAACATGCATAAAACGATTTCACCAATATCTCCGAATACAAATGAAAATGATTTGATATAGTAAATATTCTATGCATATTTACAATATCAAGTCATTTTCACTTGCCTGCTTTATTCAAGATTTCAAGAGTACCAAGAAAAAGACAATATCTGCATATCTCTCATGCATATCAAGAACTCATTTTTGTATATGTACCGAGATGTGATATTTTCATCAATATCTTCTCTATGTAATGAATTAGGCAACTACATGATATTCAACATTGTTTGTTCCTCGTGAAATTGGAATTTTCATAGAAACAGCAAAGCTTGTGTTGGTTGCCTTGATAAGAACAAAACATAAAAATTACAACATTCCTCAAATTATGTTTACTTTATGTAGTGGCGTAAAAGTAAGCCCGTATATTTGGTCTTGCTATGCGAATATATCACTGTTCACACAAAGTGGAAACTTAAAAAATCTGTTCCTACAAAAATAAATAATGGCAATGTTCTCAAACTCATATATAAGACTAAAACTTAAAAGCTTATGCAAAAGTCGATATTTGTAAAACGACATCATTTTAAGTTTGGTCATCATTTGCAACATAAACATAAGCATAAGAAGAATTGACAGTTGATAATCTTTTGCAGTTATGCTCATGTTTATACTTTTGCCGAAAGTGAAAACCAGGATTTGAGCGTTATAATTGAGTTCCTCGTCTAAAAAGAACAAATTTTTGTTTTTAAAAATATTGCAGCATATAATAAACATATATTTATGTATTTAATATGAAACCGAAGAAAAATTTCTCACTTCCTCAAGAAACATTAATAACAACAATGGTGATCTCCACATTTGGTGTCCTAACAAATGGTCTTCTTATTGTTGTCATTGTGAAGGATCTTTGAAGCAAACTAAGACGAGGACCGTGGATTACCATCTTAAGCTTATCTATAGCTGATATCACTGCATCTTTGTCCCAATTCATGATTGTTGGATTGGGTAGATTGTTCGAGGTCAAACCATCAGAAGCTGTCAATTATTCTGTCCTTTTCTTTTGGATGTTTGGGGCTGCGGGCTCATTTTTTCACATGACATCACAGTATTCCAAACAAAGTATCCCAAATACAGACAACAAATGTTATCTACGAAGAAAATTTACATATTATACGCCACAGTTTGGTTGATTGCCATTTGCATGGCATTTGCTGAACTCGCATCAATTTACAGCAAGAAAAATGAACAGGTTATGTACACCTATATCACAGTATATGCTGTCTTGGAAATCGCTGTTTTACTTCAGATCATATTGAAGTGTTTCATACTTAAGGTTGTATTGCAAAGTCGACAAAACACTAGAGTAAATGCTAAACAGTACAATACTAAACACTTTGAAATTGTAAAGGCAATCATTGTGCTGAATGTCTTATTAATGGTAACTGCATTTCCTTATTTTGTCGCCAAACAAGTGGAGTTTATTCAAAGGCTTGGAAAAATACAAAGTGAATTGGCTTGGCGCTTTTCTTACTACTACGAACCAGTTGCCATGGTGAATTTCGCTGTCAATCCAATTGTGTATGCACTGAGGCTTCCAGTTTATCGAAACAGTATGAAGGCGTTGTTTAAAAAGACTAGAATTGTTTCCATTCAAAAACCAGAGCATTCAATCTTTTCACCTCGTACTAGTGCTAGTAAACCAGTATGATAGATAATGTGTTCTAAACTCAATTTGATTAAAAATGTACGAATAGTGCTAATAGTTTTTATTGGAAGAATAAATTCCAAAGTGACAAACAACTGTGTGGTCAAAAAAAATTATAACGATTATTACTACAATACTCATCACTTTTTTGATTCTACGTAACTTCAAAAGCGAGAGCAATAATTATGAATACTTTAATGAGACAAAAATTAAGTAAAGCACGTACATCAGGTACCTGGAAATATAGCAGCTTTGCTGAGATGAAAACCTTGAAAAAAAGAAGAAAGATTTGTTATTCTCATCTTGGTATATTTGAAATGCCAGCGAAAAGTACGTATAGAAATTTGGGGGAGGGAGTAAGGCCAATATAAGCCTGTTGAGAGCTGAAATTAAATGTTTCTTTGCACTATAATAACAATGCTACACAAACTTCCCTCTTCTTCTGGAGAATATTGCAACAAAAAAGGTGGGGCCAATTATTGTTTCTACCCGTTTACAGGAAATGAATTTTTAAAATCACTCACGTATGTGGGATGTACATATGAATCCACCACATGCATGTGGACGTCACGAGGCCAATTTAAAAAAAAGCGGATTCAAAAATATCGAGATACGTGTTGACGGGTCATAAACATTATACCGACTGTATGAATACAAGTGATCAAATTGCATTAAACCATTCAGTCAATGCCAATCATCCCAGAGACAAGAAATTAGAACAGTTGATTAAACTGTCTGAGATCTCACTATGGTACTCTCACGATATTTCCAAAACGTCTATCCTTCCTTTATTTACGGATTCCTTATTCTTACAAGTTTGATCTCAGTATATCCAGTGACCAATACTGGTGATTTTTTGGAAACGCGCAATTCGACTCAACCAAATCATATAAATAACTCAAGGAATTCATCTGGTTTACGCAATCAAAGTGCTGTAAGTATATAATCTACTGCAGTTATTTTTTCTACAGATCTTATCACTATCTCATAGTACAAACGTTAAACATGTATAGATACAATTAAGAACTAGGAGATGTTCAAACTTTAAAATGCGTATGTCGGCGACAATGTGGTAGGCATAAAAAATTCTCAAGTTGCTTATACAAACCAGACTTCTAAAAAATGCTGAAAATCCAGTTTCAAATATCAATCTTTTCACAAAACGTTGAATGTTTGAAATCGCTCTCACTATTTATACGATTTTGAATAAAAATTAAGAGGGGCGTGTCCAGATAAATAGTTTTCTATTTAACGATACCATCAAGAATAAAAAATTCAAACGCAGCGTCATCAAAGTGCTTCTTCCAGGAAAAGATCTATCCACAATTGTAGATTTTTAATGCGTTATGTAAATCATTTTCTTTAGTTGCTTCTAAATAGTCAGGACCTAACTTTCCTGACCTAAACGCATTACGTGTAATGAAGTGCGCAATTCAGTAGAGTGCCTTCACAGTAATGATCGAAGAAAATTCATAAAGCAACTAGTTCATGATTCTCAGTTTACGACTGTAAAAATTACCATTTATCTATGTGCAATTATGAATGTATATGAAAACATTTGACGTCTTTTCCTCTTTCTATATTTCATATAAAAGCGAAGAAAAGTTTCTCAATTCCTCAAGAATCATTAGTAACAACAATGGTGATCTCCACAGTTGGTGTCCTAACAAATGGTCTTCTTATTGTTGTTATTGTGAAGGATCTTTTAAACAAGCTAAGACGAGGACCGTGGATTACCATCTTAAGCTTATCTATTGCTGACATCACCGCATCTTTGTCCCAATTCATGATTGTTGGATTGGGTAGATTGTTCGAGGTCAAACCATCAGAAGCTGTCATTTATTCTGCCCTTTTCTTTTGGATGTTTGGGGCTGCGGGCTCATTTTTTCACTTGACATCACAGTATCCCAAACAAAGTATCCCAAATACAGACAACAAATGTTATCTACGAAGAAAATTTACATATTATGCGCCACAATTTGGTTGATTGCCATTTGCATGGCATTTGCTGAACTCACATCAATTTACAGCAAGAAAAATGAACAGGTTATGTACACCTATATCACAGTATATGCTGTCTTGGAAATCGCTGTTTTACTTCAGATCATATTGAAGTGTTTCATACTTAAGGTTGTATTGCAAAGTCGACAAGACACTAAAGTAAATGCTAAACAGTACAATACTAAACACTTTGAAATTGTAAAGGCAATCATTGTGCTGAATGTCCTATTACTGGTAACTGCATTTCCTTATTTTGTAACCAAACAAGTGGAGTTTTTTCAAAGGCTTGGAAAAATACAAGGTGAATTGGCTTTGCGCTTTTCATATTACTATAAGCCAGTGGCCATGGTGAATTTTGCTGTCAATCCAATTGTGTATGCACTGAGGCTTACAGTTTATCGAAACAGTATGAAGGCGTTGTTTAAAAAGACTAGAATTGTTTCCATTCAAAAACCAGGGCATTCAATCTTTTCACTTCGTATTAGTGCTAGTAAGCCTGTATGATAGATAATATGTTCTAAACTCAATTGGATTAAAAATGTACGAATAGTGCTAATAGTTTTTATTGGAAGAATAAATTCCAAAGTGACAAACAACTGTGTGGTCAAAAAAAATTATAACGATTATTACTACAATACTCATCACTTTTTTGATTCTACGTAACTTCAAAAGCGAGATCAATAATTGTGAATACTTTAATGAGACCATAAATTAAGTAAAGCACGTACATCAGGTACCTGGAAATATAGCAGCTTTTTTAAATTTAAAACCTTGAAAAAAAGAAGAAAGATTTGTTATTCTCATCTTGGTATATTTGAAATGCCAGCGAACAGTACGTATAGGAATTTGGAGGAGGGAGTAAGGCCAATATAAGACTCTTTAGAGCTGAAATTAAATGTTTCTTTGCACTATAATAACAATGGTACACAAACTTCCCCCTTCTTCTGGAGAGTATTGCAACGAAAAAGGTGGGGCCAATATTATATTAATATTGCAACAAAAAAGGTGGGGCCGAT